AGCTTCCTTTTGACCTTGAGTTCACTTTGTCACCCTTGGAAAGCCTGTTTTTCTTTAACTAAAAATAACTTCAAAACCTGCCTGGCTGTTGTGTTTTTACTAGATTTGAAAGGTCTGTTCTTTTGTCGGTACATGGTCAGCTGTCCAAATCCATGGCCTCTATTCCCTGGCAGGTTTTCATGGTCTCTTGGCCTGTTCCTCATTGCACCTGTGGGATACGTCCTGAGTAAGCCTTGGTATGTATTGGTTGGTACCCTGGTTCCTGGGCCTCTTTACCCCCTTCCTTAGACACCTATTTGATCAAATCCTACTCCTGCTGCTGATTTTCTGTTGCACTGCTCTGAGCGAAGAAGAAAGTGCTGTCTACCAAGTATCCACAATGCACCTGGTGTATCTTAGGTGCTCACATCATTGTGTTAAAACTGCCTGAGAGCTGGGGAATTAAGAGTAATGCAGGAGGGATGAACAGGTAGTTTCCAGGATCTCATGGCTGGGAGCAGAGGTCTGTAGGTAGCCTGCTCTTTGCACACTGTCTTTCTCAGAAACTGACCCTGTTTTTCCCTGGCAAGCTCATTCTGGGTGGTCATCCTTCCACCCATCCTTCCATTATGTGTAAGGTGGCGGGATCCTTACCAGGAGGCCTCCCCAAGGCTTTAGACTACCCACTCTTCTGGGCCTCACCACCTGAAAACCACCTGTATTTGCCATTACACTTTTGTCTTCCGTTCCTTGTTGCATAGAAAAAAGACTAGTGCATGCAGCTTTCTAATTCTAGTGGGTCATACACTGAATTAGGAGAATACACTAAGAAGTAAAAACTGCAATGTTCAGGAGCTGGAGCAATTGCTTTGCATCTGAGTGCACTGTTCTTGCAAAGGACCCAGTTTCAGTTCCCAGCGTCTATGTCAAGCAGCTCATAACCACCTTTCACTGACTCCAGCTACAGGGAATGCCACACCCTCCATTGGCCAAAATGGGCACCTGTACTCATATGCACATATTCACACACAGATATGCACATAATTAAGAATCTTTTTTTTTAAGTGTTCCAAAGGGTTATGGTTGGGACTTAGTTAGGAGAGCACTCACCTGGCATGTGCAAGGCCCTAGATTCAATCCCCAGGATTCCATAAACAGCATGCATCTAGTTAGAGTTATGAAACTCTGCCTTTTTAAAAAAAGATTCAGAATTAATGAAAAGAGACTGAATTTGAAAGCAAGCAAGGAGAGTTGTATGTGAGAGTTTGGTAAGAAGAAAGGGTAGGGAAAATGATGTAATTGTAACCTCAAAAATAAAAGAAATGAAAAAGGTTTGGGACTAGAGAGATGGCTCAGCTATTCAGAGAACCTTGGGCTCTTACAGAGGACCCAATTTCAGTTCCCAGCACCAAGGAGTACAGTTCACAAATCACACACACACACAGGTAAAACTTCAAGAGTTTGGAGCCTGGCCCAGGAGGGTGAGGGATGAGGCAGGCACAGATGATAAAAGCACTTTGCCACCAAGCCTGATAGCCTGAGTTTGATTTCTGGAACCTACATGTTGGAAGAGAAAACCAACACCTGAGCTGACCACCTCATAGCTGCTATGGCACACATACCCCACAAATACATTTTTATTTTTGTGTGTATACATGTGTAGATCCAAGGGTGGGGCCTGACCCAGTTGTCCCTGCCCTACCTGGCTCAAATCTGCTGACTGAAAAAGCCAACTTAAAAACTGTCCTGACTCCTTCAGATGGGTGTGATACAAAGAGACTCACAGGATGTTGCATAAGTCCATCTTACGACTAACAAAATCCTTCAAGACAAAGACCCTGCCCCTGGAAAGTGGTGGTTATTTACAATCATCTTGAGAGGAACAGAAAGGATAAGTAAGTATACTTGGGTAAGGTTCCTATTGCTGTGAGGAGATAGCATGATCGTGGCAACTCTTAGAAAGGAACATATTTAATGAGGTGGCTCACATTTGCAGAGGGTTAGTTCATTGTCGTCATGGCAGACGTGGTGCTGGGAAAGGAGCTCAGAGTTCTACATCTTGAATGCAGGCAACAGGAAGTGGTCTGTCTCACTAGGTATAGCTTAAGCATAGGAGACCTCAAACCTCACCTCCACAGTGACACACGTCTTCCAACAAGGCCACACCTCCTAATGATGCCACTCCATTTAGGAGCCACTTCCTATCAAATTCCCTGGTTACCAAAGGCTTGTAGCCATATCATAAAATACATTGAGTCCAACTTCAAAAGGTCCCACAGTCTATAACAGTCTCAAACTTGTTTCAAAGACTCTTCTGAGATTCACAGCAATCTCTTACCTTTAATCACCTGTAAAAGTCAAAATCAAAAAGCAGATCACATACTTTCAGCATACAATGGCACAGGATATACATTACTATCCCAAACATAGGGAAGGGATCATAGTGAGAAAATACCAACGCAAGACCTAAAACCACCTGGACAAACTCCAAACTCTGTGTCTGTGTCTTACATCAAACTCTCTCTGACATAAGACAGCGTTGTTGACTGCCAAATGCTTCTCTTTGGAGCTGGTTCTTTTCCTCGTTAGCAGCTTTCTTTGGCAGTTATTCCATTACTCTGGCATCTCCAATATTTTGGGGTCTCCCAGACAAACCAGGCTTCAACTTCAGTTTCGAAAAATGGCCCCTCTGGGCCTCCATTCAAGGACACTCCTGACACATGCCTGGCCCCAGCTGCTTTCCTTAATCATGGAGGCAAATTCCCTTTCTTCTACCCTTAACTGCAGAACCACATGGCCAAAGCTGCCGAGTTCTGCTGTTTGTTGGGGTTGGACCATGGTCCCCTTGTTAAATTACATCTTCACCAGCTTTCCATGGTTTCTTTCACTGCCTAAGCCTGGCTGTCCTGGAACTTGCTCTGTACTCCAGACTGCCCTCAAACTCAACAGATCCACCAGCCTCTGCCTTCCAAGTGCTGGGATTAAAGGTATGTATATCCCTCTCACCTCTCCTCTCTCCCCCTCCCTCCCTCCCTCCCTCTCCCTCTCTCTCTTCTCCTCTCCTCTCTTCTCTCTCTCCCTCTCCTCTCTCTCCCTCTCTCTCTCTCTCAAACACACAAACATACAGAGCTACATAGACAAGAGTCTATCTCCAAAAAACAAAACAAAATCCAAAAATTTCCAAATGCTATTTGTTTGGCTAAGCAAGGCCAAGCACATCAAAAGCAGCTAGATTTTGTTTCCCATTGTCTGTCTTACTGGGTGTTCCCTCCACATTGTAAGAGCCTATCTGTGACCTGCTCATGGAGACAGACACTGTGAGCCTCTCGTGTGTTTATTTGGGACTGATATGGCTCTGGAACCAGGTTGGTGGGAAGGCTGCACTCTACAGTGGTGTTTTGAATTTTCTGAACTTCTGAATACCTTCTTGATATGCATTTGTTAAAAAGATTTATTTATTTATTTATTTATTTATTTATTTGTGCAGTGTTCTGTCTGCATGTATCCCTGCAGGCCATAAGAGGCACCAGATTTCATTACAGATGATTGGGAGTCATCATGTGGGTGCTGGGAATTGATCTAAGGGCCTCCAGAAGAGCAGGCAGTGCTCTTAACCTTTGCACTATCTCTCCAGCCCCTGCATTTGATTTTAATATCCTATTAGGAAAACAAAATTTAATGTCTGTTCCTCCCTAATCTATACATAAGGACATAGTGCTAAGAGTAGTTCAGTGGGGCTGGGTGTTGGTGTTGGTGCACACCTTTAATTCCAGCACTCAGGAAGCAGAGGCAGGCAGATCTCTGTGAGTTCAAGGCCAGCCTGGTCTACAGAGTGGTGAGTTCCAGGACAGCTATGGTGGTTACACAAAGAAACCTTGTTTCAAAAAGAAAGGAAGGAAGGAAGGAAGGAAGGAAGGAAGGAAGGAAGGAAGGAAGGAAGGAAGGAAGGAAGGAAGGAAGAAAAAGAAAGGAAGGAAGGAAACCTTGTCTCAAAAAAAGGGGGGAGAGTAGTTAAATGTAGATGAGACACTCAACTAAAAACAAAACACAAATATGATTGCGCTCAGCTGGGCATTGGTGGTGCACGCCTTTAATCCCAGCACTCCGGAGGCAGAGGCAGGCGGATCTCTGTGAGTTCGAGGTCGGGCTGGACCGACAGCCTCCAAAACAATACAGAGAAACCCTGTCTCATAAAACCAAAAAGAAAACCAAAAAAAAAAAAAAAAAAAAGAAACACTGACATAGCCAGGCGGCGGCGGCAGACGCACGCCTTTAATCCCAGCACTCAGGAGTCAGAGGCCAGCAGATCTCTGTGTTCCAGGCCAGCATGGTCTACAGAGCGAGTTCCAGGACAGCCAAAGCTACACAGAGAAACCCTGTCTTGAAAAACGAAACAAAAAGAACCACTGACATGAGGCATGTAAGCCATGGTTAAGAATATAGGAGGTCAACAACACACTGAGAGGTAGAAAAATCATAAAACATGAAGAAAGGACAGCAAGATAACTGCCTTTATGGGGAGGGGAGTCAAAAATATGAAGGAATAGAAATATGGCTCAGCAGTAGGCGCTTTTTTTTCTTTTCTTTCGGTTTTTTGAGACAGGGTTTCTCTGTATTGTTTTGGAGGCTGCCCTGGAACTCATTCTGTAGACCACGCTGGCCTCAAACTCACAGAGATCCTGCCTCTGCCTCCTGAGTGCTGGGATTAAAGGCGTGTGCTACCACCACCCGGTGCGGTTAGGCATTTTTTGAATGGATGCACATAGGACATATTTACACAGAGTATTACTTAGCCTTTAAGAAAAGTAAAATTATAAAATTCACAGGTAAATGGAGAGAGTTAGAAACAATCATTCTGCATATGGTAACTCAGAACCAAAAAGTCAAATGTCACTTGTTTTTTCTCATCTGTGAATGTCAGCTTCAGATATGTATTTCAGTTGGAACACTCATGAATGATGAGTATTGGATCCCTGGTTACTGTGTATCCTCTGCTGATGCAATAAGCCAAAACAAACCAATTAATAAGAACAGATTTATAAACAGAGCACAGCACAACAATGCAACTCCCAGGCAACTCTCCGGAAGGCAGGAGAGAGATCACATGGCAGATCTGGTGACCGGGTATGTGTGGTCTTGAGCAGCTCCAGGGAAGGAGCTGACCCTTGGCAGGCTTTCTGAGGGGTGGAGTCTGGAAGAGGAGGAGGGGGGCCAGGTTGGAATTGGTGAGAGTGAGGCTGGAGTGGAGGTTGGAGCAATGGCAGAGCTTCCACCTTCAAGGTCAGGAAACTACTAAGGTGCCATGTTCAGGGAGAGGAGATAAACTGCACTCGTATGAAGGAATCATGGAATAGGAAGGGTTAAACTAGGATGAGGAAGTGGAGGGTAAGGTGGAGGACAGAGTAGAGAAAAGGATAAATAACATATAGAGAAAGCCCTTTCTAAATCTTATCTATCTCCAACACACACACACACACACACACACACACACACACACACACACACACACACACGTTAAAATGGAATTACCCTGTAACAGAGCAACAATGTTCCTACTAGACATCAGAGGCTAACAAAAAGTTCCGTGCTTGGTATGAGTTGCCTCTTGGTGTTGGCCAGTGAGATCCCATACACCCCAAAATATTACAGAGTATAACCACTGCTCTTGGTTACCCTCCAGGCAATCAGAACCTATTGCTGAAGACAGCACATGACTGAGTCATGTAACATGGCAAAAATCAAGCTGGTTTGAACATGTAAGCTTTATCCCTACTGACCAGCTAGCTTTCATAGTCCAGAGAGGTGCTACACAAGTTACTGGAGAGGAAAGTTGTTAGTCATACTCAGCTGTGGACCCTTCAAGCTACAAAAATGACTGGCGTAGACATACAAACTCACTGGTTTAATAGTGGCACCAACATCACAGGAAGAACCAACCACTTTTTGATTGAATCTAAATCCCTCTCTAGGGATGAAACTCATACCTGGCACCATTATCAGGCTAAGAGCCTCTGGCTAAAAAGTCAAAAGCTATGGAAAAAACCTGTAACTATTATGCTGCTAAATGGACATACTATTAAACTGACTCTTAATGACTTGCATTCTATCCACAGATCAATGACCTCTCATCCCTTATCTGAGAAGCTTCTAACTCCAACAGTGATTAATACCGAGACTCACAACTAGCTATGGTACAGAAAAGAGACTGTAGAATGTTCAGTCCTAAAGGGAGCATGTATAATGCACCCTCCGCTTCCAAGGCTAAGGGATCATTGCAGAAGAGGTGGAGAAACAGTGTAAGACACTGAGACAGTAGATGACTACAACATCTTTTGGACACAACAGGACAACTGCACACATAAACTCTCAGTAGTTGCAACAGCATGCATAAAACCTGTGCAAGCCCAAGCCACACCAAATCCTAGCAACTGTTAGCTGCTGGGAGTTTCTCTAAGAGTGTACCCCCGATAAAAGTTATTTGACCACTCACCGTAGATTACACATCCAAGAATATTTAAACATCACAAAATTGGTCTTGAAGTCGGAAAAAAAATACACAAACTTGGGTAGGTAGAAAGAGAGGTGGTAATCTGGGGAATGAACATTAAGAAAGAAAAAAAAAACCATGAAACTCTCATAGAGAGACTGGAAAAATGGCTAACTGCTGTTAAGAGTACTTGCTGCAGCTGGGCAGTGGTGGCGCACGCCTTTAATCCCAGCACTCGGGAGGCAGAGGCAGGCGGATCTCTGTGAGTTCAAGGCCGGGCTGGACCGACAGCCTCCAAAACAATACAGAGAAACCCTGTCTTGAAAAACTTCAATAACATCACTCACATTAGATGGTTCACAACCTCTTGTAACTCTAGTTCCAGGGAAATCCAGCACTCTCTTCTGCACTCTGCGGTCACTAGACATGCACGTGGTGCACATACATACAAGCATGCCAAATGTTTTTTTATGAATAAAATCTCAAAGAACTAATAAAAATTCTTTACTGTATATAAATACGTGTGTGGGTTGTGTATGTTAGTCAGTTCTTTCATTTAGCCATGTAGGCTCTGGAACTCAGATCATTCTTGGCAGCAAATGCCTTTACCAACTAAACCAATACCTCCTTGTAACTTTAAAATATTTCATGCAATTTACCCTAGCCCAGTGGCTCATCTACTTAGGATGCTGAGACTGGAGGATCTGGAGTTCAAGGTTCTCCCAGGCTTCAGAGTTCCAGAGCAGCCAGGGCTACAGAGAAACCCTGTCTCAAAAAGACAAAACAAAGTCAAATTTGTTTCATATACAATAAGGTTGATCTCCTGCTCCTCCCTGACTACACCTACCAAGTGATAGGATTATGAACATGAGCCATTAGCATATTAAATTTAAAAATCCTAGCCAGGTGGTGGTGGCACACACCTTTGATCCAGGACTGGGGAGGCAGAAGCAGATGAATTTCTGTGAGTACAAGGTCAGCCTGAGTACTGAGTAAGTTCCAGGACAGCCTCCAAAGCTACAGAGAAACCCTGTCTCATAAACAAAAACAAAACAAATTTTAAATCTTAGCCAGGCAATTTCTTTTCTTTTCTTCTTTTGGTTTTTCCAGACAGGGTTTCTCGGTATTGTTTTGGAGACTGACCTTGAACTCATGGACATTCGACTGCCTCTGCCTCCCGAGTGCTGGGATTAAAAGTGTGCACCACCCTTTGGCAATTTCTTAAGTAAATGTGTACCCTGTCCCACAAGTCAGCAATTTTGTTCAGCATTTGTCCAAGTAAAAAAATGCTAAGGGCCACACAACAGTTACAAGAAATCCACACAAAGGAAATTCATGCAGTCCATGTGGAGCTGGGTATCAAACACAGAGTTTCCTGTAATCGAGGCAAGCGCTCTATCAATTGAGCTACATGCCCAGCATTTTGAATTTCCATAGGTGATTGTAATGAATGTAAAATTTCTCCAGCTCTGGTTTTGCGCTATTTACTTTCCTTCATAATCTGCTTCTGCTTCCATGTTTCAGTGTCCTTCACTACACCCACCCTTAAAGTACTTCTACATTTGAAACCATATTTTACATTTCTATTACCTTAATGACCCCTCTTGTTTTGTTTTTTTTTTTTACGTTTATTTACGGTGTGTATGTGGAAGTCAGAGGATAGCTTGTAGGTGTTGGTGTTCTCCCACCACAGAGGTCCTGCTTTAAAAAATTCTTTCCAAGTTCAGTATAGAGATGCCCCAGACAGACTTAATAATTCTGTCTACTCACCACAGGGAAAGCAGGAATGTGAGATACCCAGAAGCAACCCTAGAACAAAGGTTAACCCTTACACTAAAGACTTTCTCTAGGAGGAATGCACAGAATAGTAAAGATTCTAAATAGGACTTACGGCCATAACTTAGGAAACCAATCCTACTGTCCCACCACAACTTGTGGGGGCTACACAGTAGTTTAGCATTTTAGGGATATAAGGCTGATCTCTGCAGGGGCAGCCTCTTTGTTCTAACACATCTTGGAAACTGAACTCAGGTCCTCATGCTTGAAAGCAAACACTCGTATCCACAGTGCCATCTAGCTGCCTCCCCGTTAGTTTTTGAAATATATACCTGAGCAAGCAGACAAATTCAGCTCCCCAGGACACTTAAAAAACAAAACAAAGCCAGGTGGTGGTGGCACATACCTTTAATCCCAGCACTCACGAGGCAGAGGCAGAGGCAGGGGAATCTCTGTGTTTGAGGCCAGACTGGTCTACAAAGTGAGTTCCACAACAGCTAGGGCTGTTACACAAAGAAACCCTGTCTTGAAAAACAGAAGAACCAAACAACAACAACAAAAAAGAAACACACACACACACCCCAAACATACAAACCAGGGTCTAATTATCTAGACCAAGCCTGACATTGAAAGCAACCTGCGTCTGCCTACAGATGGCTGGGATTAAGGCATGTACCACCACTACCCAGCATCCCAAAAGCAATCTTAGCTCCATTGCTCTCTCCTGTTTTAGGAATTCTTGCGACCCCAAAAACTTGGTTTTGTTTTCAGATTAACTCACACATCAGTTAATTTGGTTACCAGTTTCCATCTAATTTCTTCCTTTTGTGTTATATGTTGTTTCTGAAGTACATCATTTTTTTTAAAGCACTGATATTTTGTACTTTTGTGAATTCCTTCAGTTTACCCCTTTTCTTCCTTAACGTCAACACTAGGCCATCTTCCTGTCTCAAACTTCCAAAGAACTAGGATTACAAGTGTGAGATACATCTGCCATTAATCCTGATTTTTTTAAAATCAATTTTAAAAGTTATTTAGGCGCTGCCTCTTGGGTGTCCATGCTCCCCACCTCCCGTAAAACCTGGGAAGATGAATTTAAGCCTTCCATGTGCTAGGAAAGTACTCTACCCTGCATAACATTCCTAGACCACACTTCTATCTATCTTCTCAAGGGACTCTACCTGTGAATTCTCGGTTCGTGTGTTGTAAATTCTGCACGTTCTCTATCCCCTAGTTAACTGCTTCTGATACATCCTTCCATTCTGTGATTTTTCTCTCCTACTTTATCTAAGTTGCCTATTAACCCCACATTGGGAGACTATGCTTTTTATGGCTGTTCCAGAAATATTTTAAAGCCTGGCAGGAGTGGGTGGCTGGAGCGTCAGCTCAGCAGTTAAGAGCACTTACTATTATTACAGAGGACCTCAGTTCGGTTCCCAGCACCGTTAGTAACTCCAGCCTCTAGAAATCGGACTTTGACCTCCTCGGGCACCCGCGTCGTACAGACACATAAAAACTTTAAAAAGCCTGGGCGCTCCACTCCCTCCCCGCCCCGCCTCCATTACTACCTCTGATCTGTAACGGTAAGCTCAGAAAAGGGGCAGTGTCCAAGAGCTGGAGGCGACGACCAACCGGCTTTCACCTCAGTCTGACGCGCCGGGGGAAAAGCCCGCCGGCCGTGACGTCACAAAACCGTGACGCGCTCGGAGCTCCGCCCCCTAGCGACCTGCGCCGGGAATCCGAGCTGCCTGCGCCGTGGCGTCACAGGTCCGGGCAGGCGGGTTTTCCGTCGGCCCAATGGGAGCGGCGCGCCGGCCTCCCCTTTAAGGAATGTTGTGACCTGACGTCACCCAGGCGAGTTACCTCCCGCAGCCACCACCGCCAGGCTCAGCGCGAGCCCTGCAGCCCTTGAGCTCGAGCCCCGGAGTCCCCGGCGCACCGAACCGCAGCCACATCCCTGAGCCGCGCGCCCCGGAGTCCCGGCTGCGCGCCCCGCCGGGCCCGCGCCATGCCCTCCGACCGGCCTTTCAAGCAGCGGCGCAGCTTCGGTAAGGCCCTGGGGACGAACTGCGAGCAGGGACAGAGGGATGGGGGTGCCAGCCGACCCCGATTGCCGCAGGTGACGTCAGCCCCGTGACGTCAGGCACCGGCCGGCCGGACCCCGGGTGGGGAGGCCGCAAGGCCTGGCAGGGTCGCCCATCTCCCTACCGCGTCCCCGGTCGAGGGTTGTGGGGCTGTCGGCCCTGGGGGCGGGCGCTGGGGCGGGGCGGGCCCGGAGCCGCCCCTCGGGGACGGCGAGGCGGAGTCGCGGGAGGCCTCAGCCCTGCCGGGCCTCACGCCGAGTGCTGTCCGCAGCTGACCGCTGTAAGGAGGTGCAGCAGATCCGCGACCAGCACCCCAGCAAGATCCCGGTGAGTCTCTAGCCCCCCCGCCACGCCCTGCCCTGCCAGGCCACGCCCCTGGCTTACGAGTCCCCCGCCCACTACTCCCAGGTGATCATCGAGCGCTACAAGGGTGAGAAGCAGCTGCCAGTCCTGGATAAGACCAAGTTTCTGGTCCCAGACCATGTTAACATGAGCGAGTTGGTCAAGATCATCCGGTGCGTGGGCAACCTCCTGAAGGCCTTGGGTGGGGTCGGGGCCAGGTTCCACTCGGAAAGGGTGGAGTGGGGGAAGGGGACAGGATATAGGGCACCCGGCCCCTGTTCTGGGAGGCTGGACAAGGTCAAGGTCGGGATTGGAGTGAACTTCTACAGAGGTCAGAGCGTCTAGCCCGGGCTGTGGTGGATGAAAAGTGAAGATTCGGGATCATTTTGGGAGGGTCACCTAGGCCCCAGCAGGCGGCCTCCTCACCTGGCATGCCCTCCTGACTCTGCAGGCGCCGCCTGCAGCTCAACCCCACGCAGGCCTTCTTCCTGCTGGTGAACCAGCACAGCATGGTGAGCGTATCCACACCCATCGCTGACATCTATGAACAGGAGAAGGATGAAGACGGATTCCTCTACATGGTCTATGCCTCCCAAGAAACCTTTGGCTTCTGAGTCAGGAGTGGGGGTGGGGGATGGTTGGGGATTCTGGTCAAGCTTTTCCCAGGGAGGTCCTGGCTCCTAAACTGAGCTATTTCAGTCCCGAGTGGGTTAGGTGGAGATGTGAACCCCTTCCCCTTCCCCAGGCAGGGGACACCAGACAGCCTACCATGCTCTGGTGTAGGTCCTGCCAGTCACGTAAGGGGGGTTGCTCCTCTGGGTGCTGGCTCAGTTGGGGGTGAGTGGGGAGCAGCACCCCTGCTCTGTATGGTTTGTCCTTTTTTTTAAAGCCCCTTGCCTGTCTGCCCACCTGCCCCTCATCCACCTGAAGCATTTGCCTCCTGCCAGGACCCACCCACTCCTGAAAGACTGACCCCCCCTTGTCCTGACATGGTATATGGATCTGTGGTCATTTCCTCAGCAGAATAAAGATTGCTTAGGCCTGCCTGGCCCTTTGCCTCTTGCTGCTTGTTTGGGAGTAGGGAGGGCTCCTAGGGGACCATGTCCACATACTTGTGTCAGTGAGAACACAGGCTTGTGTTCTATGGACTTGGGTTTCCAAAAACCTACTCCTTAGGACAGGATACTCTGCAGAATTAGGAGCCAAACTCACCCCACTCCAGGAATAGATGGCATCAGAACAACAATGAAAAAACCCACACATTTATTAAGTAGCCACAACCTATAACGCCTGCTCACCTGCAGCTTCCCCATTCCTTCCTGTGCAGTCACAAAGTGGGAAGTCCAAGTGGGGTGTTCCAAACTTCCCATGGGCCTTGTGGCCAGCTATGAGTCCCCTTTGGTACCAGAGATTTGTAACCCTGGATTTGAACCTCTTCTGCCTGAGGACTCGCCTGCTGGCCACTCTGGATGAGGGCCCTGGCCTGGCTTCTGGCCCTTCCCCCTCTTGTCCATGCAGTTCTGTGCCAGCCAGGGCTACTTGAGCACAAGCATAGCCTCTGTACCGTCCTTGGCAGTCAAATAGAGACCATGTGTGAGGTAATACTCCCGTCGCAGGAAGGCATAGAAGTAGTCAGAGATGAGCAGGATCTGGCAGGGAAGAGAAGTGAAGTCATGGAGCACGTTAGTGAATAAGTCCTTTATGGGGTTAGACAGGTACTATGAAATAGTTCCTGCCTGGCATCTCATCAAAGCCCAATCTATAAGCCTGCCCAAGGACCTCCTTCCCCCCTGGTACATACCTAGCCCTGAAAGAGCTTACTGGCCATTGGGCAGCTGCCTGCTTTTTACCTTCTGCTTCCTATCCCTGGTTTACACCTCCATCCTTGGGAACCCAGATCAGTGTTCTAGCAAACAGTGTATGCACCTTGTCTCTTTCCACAGGCATTCCCCATCCAGCCTCCTTTGTCAAACCTCCCGGTCCAGGGGCTCAGGACACAGAATTGCCTAGTATTTCTCCCATACATATATCCCAGAAATCTACCTTGAAAACATACAATTCCATCCATCCCTGTAACAACCCCCACCAAAGTCACTGTTGTCATTTAAACAGTATCAAAACAGCTTCCCAGGGATCCCTGGTTTCAAACATTTTCCTGTGCCAGGCAGCCAGAGGGAGCTTTTCAAACCACAAATGTGATCATGCTACTGCTTGACTTGAGTCTCCCAAAGGGTCCTCATGCTTCAGACTCAGAGCTTCATGGCCTTGCACCTGGGCCCTGCTAGATGTTACATCACTCCCTGTACACCTCTCTAGCCACAGGTCTTTGCTGTTCCCTCTGCCTGGAACATTTTCATCTGTCAATACCTACTTGCTCTTCAACTCTTTTGCAGGCTCACTTACCCTGGGTTAGGTCCTAACCCCTTAACCTCTCTGCTGACATAAACTCATTCAAACTGCAGCTTTACATCCAACTACGTGACACTTGGTGGTAATGCTGCTTCTGCTAAGGATGGCCTGAGTGCATCTGCCACTGTGGCACTTAGTTGCCACAACTCAGTCTGACCACAAAAACCACAAGGGGCCAGGAATCTCAGTTCATTCTCACCCTAAATAGAGCCCCAGAGAGGGACAGAATTTGTCTCACTTGCATACTTGACCCCCAAAATCTACAACTCTCTGTAGTCCAACATGCCCAAGACTGGAATAACTGGAGCTGACATGGAAGTGCCCCACCTCACCAAAGGAAGGCAGGCACACTACTGGAGACACCACAGTTCTCAAAAGTTCTCAGGCTCTCAGAGTACCAGCAGCAACCACCGCTTAGCTCAAATAGGGAGACAGGCCTAGAATGTGTCAGGCATTCAGTGAGAGTCTTGGGGGAAGATCAGAGGTTAAATCAGGTCCAGGTCCCCCGTCATTTTTCTGAAGGTAGAAAAGCAGCTAAGAAGACCTTGGAGGGTCAACAGCATTAATACTCAACTTGGACACATAGCTGCCATTATCTCATTGGAAGGCTAATGATCTATTTTACCAATAGAAAAATTGAAGCTTGAGGCATTCAATCAGTTGGACCAAGGCCATACCTGGAGATCTGGACTGTCGGGCAGGCATCCTCAAGTGTGTGATGTGCCATGGGCCCAGTCACAAAAGAACAGAGGGCTCTGTAGCGTATCAGCCCTTGGCCAGCCTGGTCATAGCAGTGGTTATTGTGCTTCAGCCCTGGTGTTTTCCCACCCAGACCTCTAAATGTGCTGTCTGGGAAAGGGAAACCCAGTCCCTGTGCCAGGGTAGGTGAGAGGCAATTGCAAATTCAGAATTTACAACATGTACCATAGTGATGAGCTGGCTAGGTCAAGGGAAGGCAAATAAAACTAGGTTATTAGGTTGAGCCACATCTGGAAATAACATTTTTGTTTGTTTTGCAATAATGTTGGCAACAGCTGGGTGGTGGCCGAAGCAGTCAGATCTTTTTTGGGTTCAAGGTCAGCATGGCTACAGAGCGAGTTCTAGTACATCCACCAGGGCTACACAGAGAAACCCTGTCTCAATCAGTAATACAATGTTGGCAATTTTATAGGATCCAATTAATGTATGTGGGAAGAAATATACAAATATTAAACACATTCATTATTCAGAAGGACCTGACCTGAAGAAATAACTGTAGGACCTTAAGAGGAGCTGTACTTTTTCATTGTTCAGTCTCTTTTGGAAACAGGACCTGCAGAGCCCAGGGTAGCTCAAACTTGGTATGTGGCAGAGGATGACCTTGAACTCAATCCTCTTGCTCCTACCTCTCAAGTGCTGGGATTACAAAGGAGTACCTCCTACCACAGGAGGAGCTCAAGAGCTATTCTTATCCAAACCTTAATTCTGTGCACCAAATTCATGTATTACTTGGATTAGAAAATAAAAATTCAGGTCAGGCATGGTGGCACATACTTGTAACCCTAGCACTTGGAAGGGGAGGCTGGAGGATTAATAAAAGTTTTTTGTTTTGTTTTTCGAAACAGGGTCTCTGTGTAGCCCTGCCTGACCTGGAACTCTCTATGTAGTCTAGCCTGGCCTCAAATTCACAAGAGATAACCCTGCCTCTGAGTGCTGGGATTAAAAGCATTACACCTGGCTAATTACTGCACGTTTCCCGTCAGTGTGCACTAGAGACTGTTTGAAAACAAACCCCAAAACTAAACGTGACATACAGCTTGAAATCACATTCTGACCAGATAATGAAAAGGGATTCTTTCTCTTTGTTAGTTTAAATTTTTTTCCTTTATGTTTGTTTATTTTATCCTACATTTTTTGCCTACATGGATGTATGTGTACCATATGTGTGCCTATTGGGGTTGTTGAAGGTTGTGAGTCACCATGTGAGATACTGGGAGTTAAACTCAGGTTATCGCCTTTAATCCCAGCACTCGGGAGGCAGAGGCAGGCGGATCTCTGTGAGTTTGAAGCCAGCCTGGTCTACAGAGTGAGTTCTAGGACAGCCTCCAAAACAATACAGAGAAACCCTGTCTCAAAAAACCAAAAAAATTAAAAAAAAATAAACTCAGGTTATCTGCAAGAGCAACACGTGTTCTTAACTGCTGAACCATCTCTCCAGTCCCTGGGGATTCTTTAAAAACAAAGAAAAAGAACAAGTCTCGCCGGGCGTTGGTGGCACATACCTTTAATCTCAGCACTCTGGAGGTAGAGGCAGGCGGGTCTCTGTGAGTTCGAGGCCAGCCCGGTCTACAGAGCGAGTTCCAGGACAGCCTTCAAAACAATATAGAGAAACCCTGTCTCGAAAAACCAAAAAAACAAACAAATCTCAGTCTAACAACAAACATCAGAACAACCTAATTTAGGGGGCCTGCCCAGTGTCCCTTAATCCTGTCAAGGTCATGAAAAATAAAGACGAGCTGCAGAGCAGAGGACACTAGGGAAACACAATCAAGTGTAACATGGTCTGCTAGGCTGGTCCTGGAAGAAGCCATGACTCCCATTCAGTTAATGGTAAAGTCCTAGGGAGGGTTCTTATCTTAACAGAGGTTCTGTATAAGGTGTTCACAACACAGGAAAACAATGAAGAATACAGAACTTCTCTCCACTATCTCTGCAACCTTCTATGATTCCAAGACAATTCCACAATAAAAGGTTTATCTAGAGAAAACAAACAAACGTGTTCTTTTTTTGTTAGGGTTTTGTTTGTTTGGGGGTTTTGTTGTTCTTGTTTGCTTTGTTTTGAGACAGGGTCTCTGTACGTAGCCCTAGTTGTCCTGGAACTCTTTATGTAGACCAGGCTGGCCTCAACTCAGAGATTCTCCAGCTTCTGTCTCTTGACTGAGGGATTAAGGGTGTGTACCATTCCACCTAACTTGTGTTTTTTTGAGACAGGGTCTCCTGAAACCCATGCTGGCCTTGAACTATGTAGCAGAGAATCCCCTTTGAACTTCTGAACCCACTTCCACCTCCCAAAGGCTGAGATTACAAGTATGTATCACTAAATGTTTTTATGTGGCAAGAGGGACTGAATCCAGGACTTTTTGCATGCTAAGCAAGCACTCTGTAAGAGCTATATTCCCACCAGGTAGGTAGTGATGGCACATACCTTTAATCCCAGCACTGGAGGCAAAGGTAGTGGGATTTCTGTGAGTTCAAGTCCAGCCTAGTTTACAGGACAAGTTCCAGGACAGCCAAGAGTGCTACAGAGAGAAACCCTGTATCAAAAAAAAAATCAGAAGGGAAGAAGAGGAAGAGAAAGAGGAGGAGGGGAAAAAGAAGGAGGAGAAGGAAAGGAAGGAAGGAAGGAAGGAAGGAAGGAAGGAAGGAAGGAAGGAAGAAAAAGATTCCCAGTCTGTTTGTTTGAGATAGGGTAATATTTACTCCAAGCTGGTCTGGAATTTACTATGTAGCCAGCAAGAAGATAGAGGCAGGAGGATGGAATTCAAAGTCATCCTTGGCATCATAGTAAAGTTTAGACCAGCCTGGTCCATGTGCACTGTTGGGAGAACACAATGAACCTCAGAAACATTGTGGTGGGCAAGACACAGTGAAGAATACTAT